GTTGTTGCATAGCTGATCCCTGCATTACCTTTGCTGTGACTGTGATCAATTTCGAGAGAAGGAGACGGACAATTAGAACTTAAAACTTAATATTAAGGTATGTCCACACTAGTGCGCTTTCGTCTTCAACTTTCTATTCAACTCGCGTTTCAACATTCAATTCATTTTGCGCTTATTGCATGCCTCTGTTGAACGAATCTACGCATGCCCTTCCTCTGTCCACACTACGTCGTCATCACGCAGTCAATTTCCAGCGTTTTAATAGAAAACATGTCGGATTCATCGTTGCTTGTTGGGATTAGTGCGGCGTATCTAATTATTGCGAGTGCGAAGAAGAGGCGTGATAAAAAAAAGCGTTCCATATGGATGAAAAATTATTTAAAAACACGAAATTTTGGTATCATTGATGATTTGCAATTAGATGAAGACATTGTGTTTAGAAACTTTACGCGAATGTCCAGAACGAATTTCTACTATCTGTTAAAAAAAATCGAGCCGGAAATAGAAAAACAAAACACTCGTTTTAGAGAGGCAGTACCAGCTAAAATTAAGTTTTTAATAACCATCAGATTTTTAGCTACCGGAGATTCGTTTTCATCCCTTATGTATTTATTCAAAGTTTCCAAGCAGTTTATTTCAGAAATGTTGCCAACTGTTCTGAAAGCTATAGTGAATGCTCTACAGAATTATATCAAGGTAAGTGAATGTATTTATAAAATTAAACATAGTTATAAAGGTAAGAAAGGTATAACATTTTATAATTGACTACATAATGGCGTTTTAATATATAAATTAATTTGTGGTTTTAATATTATATATAACAAAATTAAGAATACACTTTACGTTTTAATATGTAAAAAAAAATGAAGAATAAATTTTACGTTTTAATATATATAAAAAAAATTTAGAATAAGTAAAAATATGTATGTGAAATTACTCATTATTGCGTGTTCTGAATGACAAATACTCGTTGAGTTCATGTGTGGTCGGGTGATTAGCAGTGTTCACCATGAGGCCAGTTGAATCATCATATGTAAAAGAGTGACTGTCACTTTCACAAGTGTCAACTGCGGTTGCCGGAGATTCAGGCGGCAATGAACTTTGTCTTCCACTCGTCTCTATTTCTTTCATTTGTAAATCAAAGAGCATATTGGTTACCTCACGTTTGGCTAATATTTGATTTAAAGGTTTGAGTTTTCTGATATTATCTGCTACAAAAGTTCCAAACGTACTCCATTCATCTCTTCTCTCAATTTCATCAGCCGCTCTTTTCATAAGTTTGTACGCCTCATCTTCTCTCTCATCCCGATTATTTCTTTTCAAATTTCTTTTTGTCCTTATTGGCTGAATAAACTCGTGTTCTTCTATGACAGGATGCGATTGGTTGGAGATATTCCCATTTCCACATGGTAGTTCATCTTGTACGTCCTGTGATGATATTAAATTTATAAAAATGAGCTGATACAGGAGTTGGGTGGGATACACGAGATGCATTGATAGGTTAGGAATTTTAGGATACATATTGGGATAATTTTATTTTATAAAAAAAATGTATAAATATATTAATATAAATATAATCTTATTTAACGCATACATTTTTAAAATTGAAGCATTATTTCAACTACTGATGGTGTACACAGACACAAAAAAAAACACATATCATTAGTAATTCAGAACATTTTTCACTTCGTTCAGAATCTAAAATAAAATATATAATTCCACTAATTACGGGTACCCAGATAAAAGGGCGAAATAGTACTTTCAATTAGTGTTCAGATTTATAGACAAGCATTATACATTATTGTTCTTAAAAAAGTTTTATTTATTTACTAACAGCTACCCTCAAGTGATCATGAATGGAGATCTATCGCAGAAGAATACAATAAACGATGGAATTTTCCTCACTGTGTCGGCGCCATCGACGGCAAACACGTCGTAATCCAGAAACCAGAAAACACAATAAGCGAGTTTCATAACTATAAAGGAACAGACAGTATTGTTCTATTGGGAATAGCGGATGCTAACTACTGTTTTACGTATGTCAACGTTGGATGCCAAGGCCGTATCTCAGATGGAGGAGTATTTAAAAATACTTCGTTCTCTAAGAAACTCGAAAAAAATGAACTTGGTTTACCGGAATGTGAAGCACTGCCTGGTCGTATGATGAAACTTCCTTATGTCTTAGTTGCCGATGATGCGTTCGCCTTATCTGAAAATATTATGAAACCATACGCCACAGATTTGAACAAAGGATCCCCAAAAAGAGTATTCAACTACAGGTTGTCCAGAGCGCGTCGTATTATAGAAAATACTTTTGGGCTGCTTTCAGCCGTGTTTAGAATATTCCGCAAACCCATAGAAATAAAAGTTGAAGAAACAATAGTTAACATTGTTTTGGCTTGTGTTTACCTTCACAATTTTTTAAGAATGCAGCCCGATTCCGCAAAGTTTTATTCAACATCAGGGTGTTTTGATAACGAAGATTCTAGCACAGGAGAAATTATTCCAGGATCATGGAGAGAAATAACCTCTGGTGACACTGGTTTAAGACAACTTAGATCAATTCCACGAAAACCAGCGTCCAACGCAACAAATATCAGAGAAGAATTTAAATCATACTTCATGTCTGAAATAGGATCATTACCATTTCAGGACAAATACTTGTAAAATATTTTAATTAATTATACAATATTAGATTATAAGAACTTATGATGCAAATAAACTAATAGACTAAACTACTGCAAGCTAGTCTGATGCTGAGTATACTATATAAAATGCACTAAGAAAGAAAACTTACTTCTTCGTTGTTATTTAGGCTTGCAGGGTTATCATCTTTCTCACTTTCCTTAGTCTCCCTTGGCGTTGTAGCGTCCGAAATAAAAAGTAGCGATTTATATGCGAACCACGAGGAAGTATAGTTTTCATCCGTTCCTGAACCGGATTTCTTTTTTAAAACTTTTTGGCGTTCTTTAGAGAAGTATGAACGCAAACTCTTTATTTTCAATTTTACAGCTGCCATGTCCATATTACATTTTTTGCTGATCTCGTCAAGAGCATCATTTCTTTTAATTTTATTAGTGTAATCTTTATGCAGCACGCACGTTGAATTGAACGAATTCCCACTAAGCCCGGGAGAGCTTGCGCTATAGCATGCGTCACGAAATTAGACCCGTTCAACTTGATAAGGCATGCGCTGTTGCATGCTTTTCTGTTCAACTCTCCTTGCGCTATGACGCATGCCCGTAACGCACGAAAGAACGCACTAGTGTGGACATACCTTTAGGTACACTTTGTCTTAATATCGATATTTGTAAATTGTTGTACATTCTCAAACCCTATAGGTATGAGTTACCTAAATAAATCGAAAATGATAT